GTTTCCCCAGTCAGTCACCGCCTTTGTGCAATTCCTAGACTGTGATGTTGAAGGATGAAAGTATGAAGAAATGGTATCTGCATGAAGACACTGGTGCCAAGGTGACTGTGGGAGTGGGTGCAATGAGACTAAGGAAATTGAATCAAGTTATGGGTTCATTAAGTAGAAAGTCATTTGTCGACTCAATGACACAAGTTTTCAACTGAAGATTTTCAGAGAAAAATGATTCCTCCAGAAAAGAAAGTGGTTGCAAGAATCATGGGGAATGGATTAAGTGGATATGTACATCATAAAAAGCGATCATAAAAGTTATACCTTTACTTTGCCTTTTTCTTTTCTCTCTTTTGTTGATGTGCATTTTCTTCTGGAGTGTAGACATAGTTTATCTATATGTGTTAAAATGAGTAAATAAGAGTTACTGTGATTCTGTGGTGAAGACAGTATAGACAGCCACCGAAAGGCTCTCCTATTTGTCATATCTGCCTTGCCTTGCTCTGCCTGTAAGTGGCCCATTTGAAAGTGGGCATGGCAGGTTGATTCCCAACAGGCAGACTAAGCAGGTGCTTTGGAAGCAGTTTCTATAATTTACTTATAGCAGTTGGACCTTGACCTTGGACTCGGGACATGGCAAGGAATAACCACAGAAAAGCAAATTCTGGAAGCATTTCAATTTAGGAAAGTTTTCCTGCATCCATATTAACTTTTTTTACATAGGATTCTCCACTAAACATTTGTACAGAAATGTTCTCACATAGGATTTGGCTATCTTGGGTATAAATGTTACTTGCAACTGCCTTTACGATTACATCACTCCTAAGGGGAAACTGGGAAAGGGAATAACATTTGAAATGCAGATAAATAAAATGTCCAATAAAAAAATGATTATATCTTTCTGCCTAGTAGCCTGAACTTACTGTGTCCTGGCAAAACATCTTCTCAATGTGGCATATTGAATGAAAGAATCCTTTCTGGGAGAGATCAGTGAGGGCAATTATCAATGATAAAGTAGGTAACAAGAAATTTTGATCTCCTTATGATTAAAACAAGAAAGATGCCTAACAAAGGACATCATCTCAAAATCTTTTGATCCTCCAGAAGCGAGGACCCAAAGATTTAAATGGCTCAGAGACAAAATCACCAAGGACTGATGGTTTTCTGATTCAGTGAAAAGTTGCTTCTTGCAAGACCTTGAGAAACAGCAGCACAAACCAGGATGGTAAGCAAGCACTTGCCTAGGACAGCCTGAGGTTCTATTCCAATGTCAGAGTATCTATAGAAAATGGCTAATGCTAAGTATTAGATCACACAATTCATACTTCACAGTAAATGTGTCTCTGTATTTGTCAGTGTTAGAGTAATACAAAGGGCTGAGAGTCCAGGATGGTCAAGGAGTTTCAAAAAGGACTGGGAAGTCAAAGCTAGGGATCTGGTAGGAATGTAAGAGCTCCTGTACTGATACAGTAACAACCAAACAGAGCTAAGAAAGCCTGAGAATCAATGGTGGCTGTGAGTGGGAAGACTGTGAATCAAGGCTTGTGAGTGAAGTGTCAAAATGGAGTTCAGCTGCAGAGAAAAAAATGTCCTACTACAACTAGATGAAGAAATGGGTTAGATGAATGAATGGCCAATTCAGACAGGCAAACAAGTAGATGGACTTATGGCATTCAAATAGGCCAAGGAACTAAGCCTATCTGAAAACCAAAACACAGTCAGGAATATCCTGGCTGATAGTCTTGGACACACACTCTTGATGAAGACCTTCAAGACATCAGTGCTCAGTCTCCACCTCTTTATGGGATCTAGGCAAAGTAGTTGATAGGCCCCTTTTCATGGTTTGGTGTCTCTAATAGTTTCCTTTTGCCTGTTAGCTCACAGATATTTAAAACTGTTTCTTGTACAAGGCCATGTGCTGATCCATTCAAGCGAAGTAGCCAGGATCCATGCAAACTGGGTCTTTCCCTATATTAACAAAAGAACTCACAAGCCCCATGCTGTGATCCCTGAGTATGTCTGTAGGACATACAAACTCTTCACATTCCCTAGCATGACAGGAAAGCCTGTACAGCCTCTCATTGCCTGGGACTCTAGGCAGCTTGATAGTAATTGTACACCCTTACTTATCACCCACCAGTCATTTGTAGCTTCTAGCATAAGCTATATATTAACTTAGAGATCCCTGATCGTTAGTAACTTACAAAAGCAAGGTATTTCCTTACTCTCATGGGCTACTGTTGCTGTCAAGATTTAAACCTTAGAGACTGTGTTGTGCACAGTGTTGTTAAGAGACTAACCTGTCTTTGAGTTTCTTTGGAACTTTGACCAAAGAAAAGAATCTCCAAGTTTTATCTAAGATTGCTTGGCTCTCTGGGTATGATTTTAATACACCCATGTACTCCTTCAGTCTAAATCTACCCCAATAAATTTATAGGGTGTCACATTTTCTAGTCTTGGGAAAAAGTCATCACTTTGCGCTGCGTGGGTGGTTCACTGTTGCTGTCACTGCAGGCATCCATCCAGGTACACTGTATCTTCAGTCCTCAAAGTGAAGTCAAATTTTCTTGCAAATTGGAGTATCTCAGAACAAGACACAATGTGATAAACTACTGTCTACATAGTATAGAATCATTTAGATCATGGCCTTGTCTAATTTTGACAGAATAAATACAATAATAACTATATAAATAAATAAATAAATAAATAAATAAATAAATAGTATAGAAATACCAGAGCCTCATTCAATCTCCATGAGTACAGTGGGTCCCAGAACCAAGTATGCTGTAACCACAATGAACCAGAAACTTAGACAGCAATTCACTGTGACTCCTAGAAGAAATTTCCACTCATGACCCTTCTCCCACTTTTTTGTAATTTCACTGGAAATGGTATAAAGTATGGGTCTTCTTCCCCTTGAAGAATTACATTGAAAATAACTGTGAATGTAATCTCTTAGAACCTTTCCTCTTCTGTTTTAAAGCTCCATCCTCCCCGTCTTCTTCTCAGCCTGACAGCTAGCATACAAACCATTTGAGGGGAAATAATGGCACTTAGTTGTAAGAGCTGTGTTATAGAAGAGCACCTCACAGTCGGTTTTTCTCTGAATTTTGACCAGCTGTGGATTTCTCTATTGGTCTCTGTGTGCTGCCAAAAGAGGTTGATAAGAGGTAAGAGCTATACTCACCTATGGGCTTAAGCATAAGGATTTATAATGGAGGTTGAAAATTTTGCAGGTTTAGGAAAGTTAGAGTTGTAGGCTTTCCTCTAGCATCCATACCTTCAACAGCCATGAGCATCTAGTAGGCACAGCTGTAAACTAGTTTTACAGTACCTCTGCATACTTCAGTGTAGGGGTTCCAGGTAAAATGTGTTTCTATATATTGGGAAGCGACAATGTGGAATCAGGAGAGCCTGGAAAAGGGCTGAGTTGGTCCACAGAGGGTAGGAAATAAGGATGCTTCACAATGTTTCACTTAGTTCCCTGGGAATGAGGACAGAGAATGAGGAGAAGCCACAGCAGAGGGTCTGCTGCAGACCTGGAGATGAAACTGAGGGGACTGGATTTGAAAGAACAGCAGGAGACAGAAAGATCTGCAAGTGTTCTGTTTCCTGACTGGAGTGGCCTGTGTTTTCTTTGGGATGCCTGCTGAAACTGGAGGGAGTCTAGTATAAAGCAATGAATGGTGTGAGGAAAGACAGGAGGGGAAGATCTATATGATCCAATGGAGAAGTGGGGACAGGGAAAGGTGGCCACAGCTCCGGGTCTGCTGCAGGGTTGAGGATGACACTAGGGATTGAATTTGAAAGAGGCAATGAAAAATAATCTGCAGCTAGTTAGCTCAAGTGTTTCCTTCATTGGTCATCAGAATGGCCTTGGTATTATGTACTTAAATACCAAAAGGTAAACTATTTTCAATAGTAGATAATACTATATCTCATGGTATAAAGCTGTCTAATAAAAGCAGCTAACAGGTTGCTCCTGCATGGAAAGGCTAAAAAAAGATCCTCTGTCCAAAGCCTCTAAATAATATCTGAAACTTAGTTTCAACAGGACTCCCTCAGCTATATTCTGTCAGACAATGGGAATACAAATTTAATAATGACTTTAATGTAAAAAAATCCCTCTACATACTGCATAAGTTTTAAAGGCTGTCTATGTTTTCTAAAAGTTTACCAGAAAACTCACAAAACTTACCTAATGGTCTAACAATGGTTAACTTGTTTCACTCTATGTGTGTCATGTGAATTCAATATTTTTATCAAGGCAATGTTGTGCAGTATCTTCTAAGCTGAAAAATGAAGATCTTCAGAACTTCCACTGTGCCTGCTTAAAATAATTACAGGCAAAGTTGTTAAAGCTAAATATTCCTTCAAACAAAGAGGAGATAGACAATGTGATTGGTGGACCATCACCAGAGTATCCATTCATTCTTTCCAGTTGGTTGTGTGTGGTTTGCCCCTAGTTCTATGAGAACTCGATGTTTTCTGGGTGTATGAGGTAAAATCTAAAAATGGGGAGGTGGTCCATATATGCAGCAATTAAAACATGGTGTATATATACTGAATAAAGGTCCTTAATATTGCCTAACACTCTCCTTAGAAAAATTTTATTTCAAACAAATGAGTTTGTTATGTGTCATGGTATTTAATTTTTTAAAATCAAGATAAATGTATGTATAAAAGTTAAAACAACACATAAATACAATTATAGGTTTTTATCTCTCTGAAAACTAGTCCAACCTTCTTGATTCTTAAAATCTACATCAAAAAAAGTGACAATTGTTTAAAAAAATCCATATACAGATAATCTTAATTTACTGCAGCATACCATGTATAAATTCCTAAGGTTATAATGGTCTAGAAATGTTTTAAAAATCTG